TATATATATATATATATTAATTTTAACACTGTAAATCTCAAACAGAGTGCTTCAATAGCAAATGTTTACATATGAAAATATTCTTAAATTTGAAGAATTTTCATTTTTTACACATAATGTTTAAAAAATTATTATTACAGAAATCTAAAGACGTTATTAAAAATGCATTAACTTTGCACGGCAAGCTCGAAAAAAAAATACAGTTTGACCCATTTCAAATGGAAACAGGCCTAAAAAAATGGTATTTATTATCCAATGTATTTAGAATTTTAAAACAAAAATTAATTACTATTGAGCCATTTTTTAAAATCACAGTGGGTAGTTGACGATACTAAGGAGAATGCATGGGCAACGGAATAGAAAACTATCGTTTTATTTTGCTCTGCCAGTCCTGCTATGTGATGCCTTGTATGCTCTGCATAAAATACAAATTTGCAAAAACGAATTTGAAGAACAACTTGCTCCAGGCATGGAAAAAGATGCATTAGAATATGTGAGGAGACTATTTCCCCAAAAATAATATACGTGCTTTCAAAGGTGGAGAAAAAAAACTTGTTTTCTAAAAGCTCAACGCCAATTACGTAGTAATGAATACTTACTACTTTTACTAAATACCACAGTGAAAAGGTTAAGTGTGATGTAAAGTTTATACAGGGTAGGAAAGTACGGATGGTCTATCTGAAGTTACGTGAGAGCGATAAAGTAAGCCATAGAAATCCATGCGATAGAGAAGGATGGCTATAATGAAGGCGTCACATAGTCATCGCCCGTTTCGCCCTTCCACAAATAAGATCCACTTCTTATTTGTGGAAGGGCGAAATGGGCAGTGACTATTAGACGCCTTCACAAACCCATCCTTGTCTATCACATGGATTTCTATGGCTTACTTTATCGCTCTCACGTAACTTCAGATAGACCATCGGTACTTTCCTACCCTGTATGGTTTCAACAATTTATTTAAAATTGATTTACGTTATTCTGAAAAATGCTGAGTGCACTGCAGTCTTTCGTACCAAGCACTAGCCACCGCTATCTGAACCATTTTGAGTTACATACCTCTCTTTATCATTTTCTTCTGCTTTTATATCCATAGGCTCAGATTTAATTAACATCTCTTCATCGTCAAATTTCAGTGCAGTAGATCCCATTTCGATAAACTCATCTTCCTGTTCATTTAATTCGGATTTTATTTTGATGTCTTCAACTTTAACGGGAGAAACTAAGGATGGAGTGCAGCCCAAATTGGCAGTGAGTTTTGTACTATGAACACTCTTAACATTTCCCTTTATTTTTAAGCATTTCTGTATAAAACCACTGTGGGTACCGAAGGAAACAAAACACCTTTTGCAAATAATGGGATCTTTGACGACACTGACATTCTACAAAGTACATTTTAAAAATATAACTGTCCAACATTTATTTTTTTATAGTTATTGAAATGCTAAAAATATGCTTTTGTAAATTGCTGTATGTCACTATATACTTACTATTTCTGGAATATATTTCTCGATCATATCAACCTCTAATTTATGTATCGACATAAATTCACTGCTTGTTAACTGCATACATAACCGACAAACTTTATAGTCATTTAATGTATCAATGAGTTGCTTGTTTTCTGTTTCCTTTATGTAAATCTCTCTTAAGTCAACAGAACATCCTGTTTCATAATCGACATGAGGAATTATGGTGTTGTCAGTATAGAGGCACATCGACTTAAATTCGTATGCTTCTCTTACCTGTAGTGAACAATCGTTACATATTATGTGTTTATTCGAATCGTTAAAATCCTGAAAATTGCATTAATACTATCAGTAACACTTATTGGCTAAGACTGTTAATGAACATACCAGATTTAATAAAAGAAAATCAAAAATATTTCTGGTAGCTTCTTCTATCTCTTCAAATTGATCATCGCTTATGACTTTGAGGCATAGCCTACAATGTTGTTCGCCAAAATTCTCCATTTAAAAAATGTATCTTGATAATAAATCGCAATAAAAGGAGTTTCTAATATCTTCTTTTACACTAATAAACTTCCCCATTTAAACTTCCTTTCGTACATATCCATGGTACATAAATAAACATAACCTTACATGTCACTTAACAACCCATAGATAAATATAAGAGCAAATGAAGAGGAACAGAATATGTAGGAAACTGGAAAGACTTTTCGAAAACAACGATCTAATCAGATGAATCATTAAGGCCTGGTTGTAAATTCGTAAGTTCATTTAGCTCACACTTTTCATATTACTATTTCCTATATTTCTAAAGTATAAAGTTCAACATGAATTTATAAGGGTAGTTGTGATTAAAATAACTTTCATTTTTAAAGAAAATTGGCTAAAATATAAGACAATAAACCAATAGTTAATCTTAAGTAGAAATAAGTTACCTATATAGACTTCTAATTCTATTGTTAAGCGATTTTAGAAAGTTTTTGGAAACAGTGTTTAAGAGCGTTGCGTCAATCTACGCGGATTCCAATTGAATGAAATGAAATCACCAACACCAATCATCTCAAATAAATGTTTTCATATTTATGCTATAGATGTCAGTGTGTAAAATTTATACAGCACTTTGTAATCAAATTGGATGTGATTTGGTAATTTAAAATTTTATGAATATCTGTAAATGATTTTGCGTAAGAAGGTTTCCTAGATTTTTTTTGTAGTACTCAAACAAAATAAATTTGCGCAAAGGTAGACAACTTAAAATAAATTGTCAATTATCCAACAACCCACAGTATACTGATCTAAATTTGATTAATAGGAGGTATACTGTGCCATATAACCTAACTAACTTGTCAAGAATCTCTAATCATGTAACTCTAAGTTGCTATTAGTTAATAGTAGCTACTATGTTTGCCAAATCGAAGGGCCCCCAGCTCTTACTGATAGACCGCTCATCAACATCAACTGACAAATGATGCAAAATACGGTGTGTTCATTCTTCACTAGATTTATTCACCGATTTCCTTAGCAGGTTGCTCCTCTTAACAAAAACATTAGTGCGTTTTACTGGAATTTTGTAGAACCATATATGTAATAAGTAGTATTACATATATGTGTAGAACAGACTTTGGATTCTAGGTCATATCTGTTCCGAAGATGTACTAACAACAACACAGCAACACTGTACTGAACATTGAACTACATCAGATGTAGTTGAATCACAAAGAATATTTACAATTTTTTTTTAAGCAGTGTCCAGTGTAAGCAATGTAAGCACTGCAACTGATTGCTCGTGTGTAGAAAACTTAATATTAACACTATAGCTTTGTTCCTAGTAGAATCCAAAACAGTTACCAACAGTTAGACGCATGCGCATATGGATATAATGCTTACATAAGGTTCAAAATTCATTGTTTTGAATCAAATGCGATTGCGTCGGACTGTTGGAAACTAATTCTAATGCACTTGGAACAAAGCTTATATTTTCTATGGTATTTACTATTTACAGTGATCGGCCCTTAACAGCACGCAATATCTAAAATGTTTTTGGTATGATACTAGGTAAAGTCATATAAATACGTATTCTACAGAAATCAGTTAAAATTTGAAGTAAATGGGGAGGCAGTAGAAGTAGTCGCTGAAATTATCACACGAAAAAAAACAATTGTTTTTTTTTGGGCCACCTTAATGTAACTATATAGATGAAACTATAGATAGGAAAAATAGTATAGAGGACATATAACACATATACTAATTTAATTATTTATTTATTTAACCTTAAAATATCCAACAGATGAAACCCACCTAAAGGATAAGTTGTAGTACAAGAAAAAAATATATTAATGAAAAAAGCACTAAAAACTACATCCTAAAAATTATTATAAAAGTTACAAAAGAATAAAAAAGACCAATACACAAGAACAATACAAAATCTTACGATTAAAAATAATGTAATATATGTGGTAATATAAAAGTCAGTCAACCAACAGAACAGTCAATGAAAAAATATACATTAAAATTAAAAGAAATAAGAATAAAAACAATACACTTATTTAAAATATGCCTTTATGTCTCCTACATTACAACAATTAATATCAAAACCCTCCATATTGTTACAATTACTCAACATTTGATATAAAGGCGACTTTAATAATAAATTGATACGGGCAAAGGGTAGCACAGAGTATAGTTCCTAGAACTCGCTCTGGGAACTCTATACGACAACTGCTCGTTAATGGACTCGCACTTAATTCCATCCAACAGAAATGCGGCAGATTTAAAAAATCTACCTTCTAATAAGGATATATGTAACATAAATTGGGTTCCATATAACTGAATCATATTCGAGTTTATATCTCACAAAAGTTGTATACAATGATCGCAGAGTGGACTGGTTCCTGAAGTTTATACGCATCAGCTAAGGAACCGTGGATGTGCTGCAAGAAACTCAACTGTGCGTCAAAAATAATCTCTAGGTCTTTAATACAATCCAGACCTCTTGAGCACACTGCCTTGCAATACATAATCGAACGTGATAGGCACTTTTTTTACCTATGAAAAGACATTTACACCAATCATTAAGTAAAGCAACATTACTCTGAAGATTCTCACAGTCCAAAACAGAGTTGATCTGACAAAATATTTTTACATCGTCAGCCTATAATAAATATTGAATGTTTAGATCTTCCGCAATATCGTTGATAAAGATATCAAACAGAAGAGGTCCAAGTATGAACCCTCGAGGTCATATTTTTTGCTTATTGCTAATAGTACACCACCACCCCTCTTTTTATTAACAGTAATAAAATCATGATCTCTATGATACACCTCATAAGCATTGATGTCAAAAATTTCAGAATTCTGCACACCTTCGTGCAATCAAGTCTCACTAATACTGATTACATCATAACTGGTACTGCTGGAAGAAATAAACAGTTTTTTAGTTTTTGTGCAAATCCAAGACAATTCTGATAATAACAACATAGCAAAGTGTTCGATTTAGAAGTAGACAATAATTGCTATTGGATACCCTATACATTATTTTTAAATAATGGGTGTAAAATTACAATTAAAAGTCGTGGATTACAGACGGGTTAGTTATTACAATACAAAAACGCGATGGAATGTACCATGAACTGTTAAATAGCCCAGATAATTTGGAGTTAAAAAATAACTATAAATATTACCGTAACAAGTTGGCCAAAATTATATCAAAAACTAAAAATGATTATTATCAAAAGCAAATTGCTTTTGATAATAATCAGCAAGTAGTACATATTCCAAATCAATAGGGAAAATAGAAACAAATAAATAATATTCTGGAGAAAAATAAATTAATAAATGAAATAAAAACAAAAAATGGAAATGTAACTGCAAATGATAAAGATATTGCAAATGAGTTTAATAACTTTTTTGCACACATTGGAATTAATCTAGCCTCAAGAATCACACAACCTAAAACACTTTATGATGAACAAACAAATATTAAATCTATTTGTTTAACAGAAGGTACAGAAAATGAAATAAAGCAATATCTCAATTAATAAAAAAATAATAAAAGACCCCCGTATAGATCAGATTACAATTGAAACGCTAAAAAATAATTTTCATACAATTAATTGCACCTCGCCTTGAGCACTTAGTGAATCTTATATTTAAAACAGGCAAGTGTCCTTCGCATTTTAAAATAACAATAATACCTATATACAAAAGTACTGATAAAATTGAGGTACAAAATAATCGGCCCATCTCACTCATATCAGGTGTAACAAATATTTTTGAAAAAGCTCTTAAAACAAGAATCCTTAGTTTTATAGATAAGTATAACTTAATTCTATTTCAGAGCTAATAGGTAAAATATATCAAAATATTAATAATAATATTCTATCATTAGGTATGTACGTATATTTGCAGACCTTGCCAAGGCTTTTGATACTGTTATCCATTCTTTGCTGATGCACAGCTTTGGCAATAGGGATTTCGGATTATAAGTATATGAGTTAATATAAGATTATTTAAGCGAAAGAACACAACTTGTAAAAATAAATGACACATTAATGACACGAGAACTGTGCTGTGTGGTTTACCGCAGGGCACAGTTTTAGCAGCTGTATTATTCATATTATATCTAAATAATTTACTTACCATTGATCTAACTTGTGGGATTATATCATTTGCGGATGATACTTGCTTTTATTTCCAAGCTGATATTGGAGAAAACTGGATGCACTTAAAAATGAGAGCTAATAAGGAATTCAAAAAAATTGAAGACTGATTTGATCAAATTAAGTCCACAAAAATTTAAATGAAAGAGGAATCTTGTAGCTAACAAGTTATCATGATTTTAAAAGCGAAAAAAAAAATGTTTACAGGAATAGTGAGTAAATAAAGTTACGTAACAGTAGAATTTTCTACAAAATTGATTAAAGTTCTGCCAATTTTTTAATTTCTAAAACTTTTAGAGATTACTCTTGAAATAGAATTTAAAATGGACAGTGATTTAAAAAAAATCTTAAAATTTTAATTAAAAAAATACAACGCTCCAAATATTCAATAATTTGAAAAAAAGGTAAATTTGATTTTTTCACGTCATGTTGAACTTTAGTTCAAAATATGATATTGCAATTTTACAGGATCATTTTTTGAAACTTGAAAACTGTACTTTAAGATGGTCCATTTTGTTTTATTTAAAACGTTGAATTTATAATATAATAAATATAAATATATAAATTTAAAAAACAAAAAAAAATTTTTTTGTTAAAGTTGGCCATATTGGATCAGCCATTTTTAATTTTTATTTTTTAACATTATATTCTTAATCTGTGATCTCGAAAACCCCAATAGTATCAATTTGATTAAAATTGGTTTGAAATTTTATGATTTATTTAAAATAACGTTTGAAAAACCAATTTTTATTATTTAAACAATTAAATAATAATTAGCGTACAAATATAAGTTTACAACTTTTTTCTATAAGCCATTTCAAGGCGATTGCAAAAGGTTGTATGAAAATCCAAGACTCTGCTAATTATTCCGATATAATGCATATTTTTAAGCTACCTTTACTCCACTAAAAAGTGTGATCCCAGTTATGTAACTGGAGAAATCATTTGCAAAATGTTAATCTCTACGGGCGGGTCTGGTTCAAGCAAATTTTGTACAGGGGAAAAAATGGAAACATTGTAACTGCTGCGTGTGGAGTATAGTTGAAACGGTTTTGCGGTCACTTCCTGTGACTGCCGACACAACGAATTTTCTTCTACTCTTTCTAGAATTTGTTCTTTGTCTTGTACCCTTCTTTGAACGTACCTTCCATTTTGTGATAAAGATGCAAACAATATATGAGAAGGCTATCTACGATTCGGATAAAGTTCTTCATACGTTCTCTTAGCAACACCTATCATGTCTCTCATTTCATAATTCGTAAATTCATTGTGACGAGACATTTTCGAAACAAACTTTTGCAAAATACAAACTTGACAGTGACTTATCGAAATTGTCATGTTGTATGGATGCTTAGTTGTTTCCAAAAAATATGGGGTATATGTTAATAAGTATTTTTTGTAATATCTTCATAACCGAGAGCATAATTTCGACTTTTGGTAGGTATACATTTTTTGTGTAGAATAAAATTCTCTATCTATTTCTGACAGTTACATGTAAAAATTTAAACGTACAAAAAAGTTACAGAAGAATATTCACAGAGGGTTGTAGTAAAATGAACGCCTTGTATGATTTAACCTAATAGGAACATAATTAATCATGAAAAGAAACTAAGCAACAGCAAATTTTGCTCAAATCAGTTAACTGAGTTCTGAGTTAAGGAGAAAACAATAAAAAAGAGAAAAATACCCTGTAACTTTTTTGCGATATGTTCTGTTTAAGCAAGTTTGGTTAAATCGACACCATTTGGGTTCTAAATTATACCATTGGAGTATATAACATTCGTTAGGTGACACCCTGTATAAATAGGACTAGAGATTGTTAGTGTTCAGTTGATTAGTTATTCAGTTAATTAATCATCTAAGATTCGTACTCTGTATAGTGATTGAAAGATCGTTGGCTAATAAATCAAGTAGTATTTAGAACCTCGTTTTATTCTTCAAAGTTGTCGCTTTATACATATACATTTTTTCTATTTATCGTTACTATTTTATTGTTGTTTGTAAGTCAATATTTTATTATGGTACTAATTTCAATTTAAATTTATGTATTTTCCTGCCCTATAATTGGAATTTATCTGTCCGGCAAGTTGTACTCAAAATAAGTAAATATTTTTTTATACAGTGCCTCCATCGACGCAGAGAAAAAAATTTCAATGGCTAACACGAGCTCCACTAACATTGAATTACCACAACGCATATAGACCGGTTTTGAACTTGTTATTCTCATCAATATATATTGACTTTTAAGATGTGACATGCTTTATAGCTTAAATCTCCCCCATTTTTAAATTAAATAGTTAATTCAGAAGGCCTTGATATAAATAGATTTTTGCAATATGTTAAAAATTAAATAAGCTATAGGTTTGGCAATTTTTAAGTGAGAAAACTCTGACTTTGAACTTTCTCATCCAGAGAGGACCTCAGAAGTTTGTCAAACAGAATCTGCCTGTTACGATAGGGGGGACCCAGGCGCTGCCGAAGGATCGGCATGTTTCAACTTGTGGTACTTAAGGTCGAATTTACGTTTCGCCACGAAATCGCACAAATCGCACTTGTGAATTCCCGTTTCTGAGCCGTTTGTGTGTTTCAACTTGTGGGACTTTAGGTCGAACTTAGGTTTCTCTAAGAAATCGCACAAATCGCATTTGTGAACTCCCGTGAGGTGGATTTTAAGATTTTTCTTATACTTAGTTTGAAAGTCACATAAATCACACTTCTATATTTGTATCTGCGAGGGGTCAGCGTGTTGCAACATCGGTGATTGCGGACGATTAGCGTGTTTCAACTGGTGCCGCCAAAAAGACTCTTCATACTTGAACTCCAAATTACATTCATTGCACTTGTACATCCGCGCCTGTGAAAGTTCCGCGTGTTTCACCTTGTGCAGCTTGAGTTTGTACCTGGATTTCGCCTCAAAATCACACAGATCACACCAGTACATATCCCCTGTTGAGGTAGTGGCATGTTTCGACTGGTGATTCTTAACACTGACTTTATATTTAGACTTAAAATCACACAAATCGCAGGTGTACATCTGCACTTTTGATGAATCAGCATGTTTCAGCTGATGAAGCTTTATGCTATCTTTATATTTCGACTTAAAATCACACAGATCGCACATGTGGAGCTGTACCTCTGAGGGATTCATGTGTTTCATTTGGTGACGCTTGAAGTTCTTCTTACAATGCGTAATGTAATCGCACGAATCACACATGAATACATCATACTTGAGTATTGGCGCTCTTGCAAGGGTAGGGCCGTTAGCGTGATTCAACATGTGATGCTCTAAAGAACTGTTACATTTAGACACGAAATCGCACAAATTACACTTGTACAATTGCACGGCCGAGGGTTCCTTGTGTACTATTTGGTGACCTAAGAAACTCTTCTTGTGTTTGCTTTGAAAATTACATTTATCACACATGTACACTTCGGATAACTGCTCGGATACAAATTGACCTTTGCCTAATTTGAGAATGTCCTTGTCTTCTAATTCTTGGGGTGAAATGTCCGGAAATATGTAACTGAAAAATGTTTACTTTTTAGTAAATATTCATTTCATTTTCCATCATATGAGAAGAATTTTTTTAATCAATTTTTGAAAAGTTTGATTTTATCTGATGTTTATGCTTAAAACAACATCAGAAAGAAATTTTTTTATTTACTATACATTTTTTAAATGAACGTTTTTCACTTAATGAAATGTGGACAAACCAATAGACTGAATTTTTTTTTATTATTATTATCGCCTAAATGGTTTCTATGGCTAAATTCTGTAACACTACAACATATAAGAAATAAAGTGTTTTCTCCAAATTTAAGAATGTCGTTTTATACAAACATCTGCCATTGAGACCCTCATTTTTGATGTACACAATGTTAAAGTTAAAAAATATATCTCTCATTTGAGGTTTGAAGAATTTTCTTCTGAAAATATACAGGGTGTCCGGGAAAATGTGGAAAATCCCTCGGGTGCAGATAGAACATGAAAAAATAAGAGTTCCTATAAAATTTGTTGTAGATATGTGACCCAGAAAGACGCCGCTGGAAATCGATTTTTCTTGAATAACTTAAAAGTATGTACTTAATATAATTTAATAAAAATTTTATGTGATGGACACTAGTAAGGACCTCTTAAAATAGAGTCCTTGAAACATATTTAGCTTTTTAGTTTACCAGAGGCAGGCTAAGTTTTACAACTTAATGCCTAAATTTTTAACACCCTGTATGATAAAGGCTTAATAAAAAAATTATAAAATAATAAGTTGTTTATTGTCGATAAAATGAACCATTTATGAGAAAAAGAATAATAAATAAATTCGTGTTTTATTTTTAATAAAAAGTGCCATGATTTCAATTTTTTTTTCTCGACAACAAAGTGCGATACGAAAGTCATTCAAATAACAGGAAAGTTTCATTTTAAGATGTTTAATCCGAAAAAATACAAAATTATAAAAAACGCAGTGGTGTCCCAGGAGGCACCTTAACGAAATTATTGAAAAACTTCATAAGAGGGTTCAACATGGGCTCCGTGAAATCTGATACACTTGCGGACACGACGAATTGAGGACTGCTGTACCCGCCACAATAACCCAGCATTGTTCCTTATCACATTACAATGAAACGTGATTCTCTGTAGAAGTTCCTCCCTAGTGTCGACTGGAGTGGAATACACCAATTGTTCGAGGTGTCCCCACAGGTAAAAATCCAGAGGCGTTAGGTCGGGAGATCGAGGAGGCCAGGCAATAGGTCCTCCTCTACCTATCCAACGGTTTGAATAGACGTTATTCAGTTGCTCCCGCACAGCAACGCTGAGGTGGTGCCCCATCACGTATGAAGTACATGTTTCGGTGGGTTTCAATTGATAAGTGTTCTATTAAATCTCGAAAAGCGTTCTGAAGGACAAATAAAGTTGTCCATTCAATCGTTTCGGCAATACGAATGGTCCAATAAAAAAATTGACAATGATTCCTGCCCAGATGTTAATTAATTTCGAGTGCGCCTTGATGGAGTGCCTTCTACAGCAATTAAAATATTTTCCTCTAATTGCGTACGGTTCTTCTCAGACCAGCATCAGTACTATTTTTTCCAAATTTTCCTACAAATATGAAGAAAGTCAATAATATGTATTACCTTCTTAATTGGAATCGCCCACCATTCTCCCTTAGACGTTGGTCAACTTGTTGAAATGTCTTCTGGTTTGGCAGAGCACGATTAGGAAAGCTGTCGTGATAAAACCTTCTTGGCTTGTAAAGCATTGCAAAACAAAAGACCATACATGAGATTCATATCTGCAGACTCAATAAACCTGTATTCCATATGTCGAAATAATTCACAAATAAATTCTCCACGAAATCCAAAAATCGGTAAATTAATAACGAAGTAAAGGATCAATGTGTCAGCGACGTCACTTTGTTGTCGAAAAAAAATAATAGAAATCATGGTCCTTTTTTTATTAAAAATAAAACATGAATTTGTTTATTATTCTTTTTCTCATAAACAGTCCATTTTATCGACAATAAACAAGAGCACCTTTTTTTAGTCCAAGGTTGAAGCTACCCAGATTTATTATTTTAAAGTCTTTATCATACAGGGTGTTAAAAATTTAGGCATTAAGTTGTAAAGCTTAGCCCGCCCCTGGTGAACTAAAAAATTTAAATATGTTCCAAGGACATTATTTTAAGAGTGTCCATCACATACAATTTTTATTAAATTATATTAAGTACTTTAAAAGTTATTCAAGGAAAACCGATTTCCAGCGGCGTCCCACAGGGACACATATGTCCGTAAAATTTGATTCTTATTAAATCAAAATAAGATGACCAGTTCTTACTTGTCATCTTATTTTTTCATGTTTTATCTGCACCCAAGAAATTTCCTCCATTTTCCTGGACACCCTGTATACTAACTATAATTGTCATTGTTATATACAGGGTGTCCCGTTCATGTTTCAAAAAAACTTGTGTGCAAGTTCCTCATGGAAAAATAAAAGGGGTAGTTCCTGTAAAGTTTTTTCGTTAGACGCCCTGTTTTCGAGATACAGTGTGTTGAACTTCGAGCATATACTCCCAGAGGTAGCCTTCAGTGCTGAGGAAACGCGACTGGTGTGGGAGAGAGAAGGGAGAATAAAAGGACATGCTATCTCTCTCGCTCCGCGAGCTGATTGGTCGGTGCGTGCTCCCCTCCATTCCATTGTGCCAATGTACTGTGCATAATTCACTAAGAGCACTATATTTTTCTTATTATTTAAGGCATTAGAAACGAAAAAAAATTGTTTGGAAGGTTAGTGTTTTTCAAATTTCACATTTTCTATAATTTGTATCAAACAAAAAAAGGAAAATTTTGTGTAGATTATGTGGATTATTTATTTATTTATTGATGAACAATCTACAGATCGCAATAATCCAATTACAGACTGTTATTTATTATAAAATATTTAGCCTAAGATGTACTAATCTAAAAATAATTATGTAGATAATAATCATGAAATAGAAAAATATCAACAAATCACACTGCGTTAACTTTCGGTAAAAAAAAAACTCCTGAAAAACAGTGTATCGTAGCTGATATATAATATCAATATATAACTACGAATCAGTGATATTACAGTGGTATTACATATTTTTTCTTAAGTCTAGTATCCCAGAAACCTTTTCTGATATGAATCCTTCTCTTTTACATGAGATAATAATCCTCCAACACCTTTTATCTTCTTATTAGCTCTATATAATTTCAGTGTCTGTAGTCTACGTGATTTACGTAATTGAATTATTTCCATTTTTGACTTTTCGAGCAATTTTCTAACTAAAAATTCGTCTTTATAATCTATTGCATCTAAATCTATACTAGCTATTGACTTTTGCCACAATTTTTCCCCAACAGTTTTGGATGGAACACTTTCTAGGCTTTCCTCTCTGTGAACAAAAAGTATATTATTCGATTAAAAATAAAAAGTTATTTAAAAAGTATATTGTTTTTAAAAATTACAGTTTGTTGTCTTTTAATGATGGAAGTAATGATTGGCTTTTCAAAGATGGTTTTTCAAATTCATCAATAGTAACATTTTCTTCATTTGATTCCAAGCTCTTTAACGATTGATTTGATATTATAACGCATGATTTCTCAAGATTAACATTGTCAGAAGGATTTGGAATATTTTCAGGATCAGCATCTATGTCCATTGCTTCACATTTATATTGAAACAAACCACTTTTCTCTCTATAAATATTAAAAAATAATGAGTTTATTAAATAAATTAACAGAATATTAATTAATAACTCTACTATTATAGTATCTTACAATTCTTGACTTTGTTCATTCCATCCATAGTTTTCGAAAATAGTAGGAACAGCATTATTTTTTAGTCTAATCCTCTGACCAGTTAAACCAGTAGAAAAGAATTCTTTTTTAAAATGTAATGCACATACTTGAAAATGAGGAAGTAATTTTACATCTGTTTTAAAATAACTTTTGATGTTATCATGCCACTCGTTCATTCTTTTGGTATCTTTAGGTACTCTTAATAAATAACGAAAAGAACTGAAAAAGTTATCCCAATCTATTTTTAAATTTTCTTTTACAATATAATTAATAATCTCTTTTTTAATACTTTAATTCATTTATACTTACTGAAAGAAATTTAAATGAAGACAGTCAGGATCATCGCGTTGACGTTTACAATTTAAAATACAACATTTGGCTGGCATTTTGCTATTGCATAATAAACAATAATAAAATCGAAAAAATTTCTCGCGAAGATAAAAACTAATAATGTATATGCACATGTATCACTAGTCAAACTACATTAGATTAGGTGCAGGACGGGACGGTCATTGGCATAAAGGGGAGCACGCACCGACCAATCAGCTCGCGGAGCGAGAGAGATAGCATGTCCTTTTATTCTCCTTTCTCTCTTGCACACCAGTCGCGCTTTCTCAGCACTGAAGGCTGCCTCTAGGAGTATATGCTCGAAGGTGCTGAAGTTGTTACTCTCCAGATGGTTTTCCTTAATTATCTTTAAATCAGCTAAACATAAAAATGTCAAAATTTGTACACGAGTAAACATAAACTGTACGTTAAGAATAATGTGCAAACGGTTTCTTTCTGAAAAGTAGTGTCGCCGATACAGGTACTTGAAGAGGTACAAGCGAAAAAAAAATATGTCAAAAGTCAAAATTTATTACATTTCTAAACAGTTCTGTAAACTCTAAAGGATACTACAAAAAAAAAGGTATACTTGTCGAAATTCGGTAGCATGTACCATTTTCGAGAAAAATGAAATTGCATTTTTTTTGCTCACAAAAGCGGCACAAGTACATTAACAAAATATTAAATTCAAAGAGGAACTTATCATTGAATGAGCTGAAGACATTTAGCTATCAACAGTATTTGCATTTAAGACTATAATTTTAATTTTTTACGTATCATATGAAACAGTTAAATTGTAAAATATTTTATTAACTAAAAAAAAAATAAAATAAAATTTATTTTAAGTTTCAGTTTCTTGTAAACAAACATTTAAAAA